CCAGATGCCTGTACCTACACCAATCACCCATGCCTGTCTAGGACTGGAAGTGAGAGCCTACAGCAATCTTAGCTTTTTAACATTTTAAAGAGGTCTTTTGCGGCAGATTTGCCCAATGCAAATACGTCGTTTGATTGATTGACTGTTGCTTCCATGGGTGTTGATTGCAGATCTAGGTAAAATGAAATACTTGACTACTTCAATATTTTCTCTGTTTATCATGATGTTGCTTATTGGTCCAGTCATGAGGATTTTTGTTTTCTTTCTGTTGTGGTGTAATCCATACTGAAAGCTGTGCTCATTGATCTTCATCAGTAAGTGCTTCAAGTCCTCTTCGCATTCAGAAAGCAAGGTTGTGTCATCTGCATATCTCAGGTTGTTAATGAGTCTTCCTCCAATCCCAATGCCACAGTCTTCATAAAGTCCAGATTCTCAAATTATTTGCTCAGCATACAGATTAAATAAGTATGATGAAAAGATACAACCCTGACAGTCAACTTTTCTGACTTTAAACCATGCTGTACCCCCTCGTTCTTACCGAACGAGTGCCTCTTGATCTATGTACAGGTTCCTCCTGAACTCAATTAAGTGTTTTGGACTTCCCATCCTTCGCAAGGTTATCCATAATTTGTTATGATCCACACAGTCAAATGCCTTTGCATAATCAATAAAACATAAGTAAACATCTTTCTGGTGTTCTCTGCTTTCAGCCAAGATACATTGACATTAGCAATGATATCCCTCATTCCACATCCTCTTCTGAATCTGGCTTGAATTTCTGGAAGTTACCTGTCGATGTACTGCTGCAACGATTTTTCAGTGATCTTCAGCAAAATTTTACCTGTGTGTGTTATTGAGATTGTCTGATAATTTCTTCATTCTGTTGGATCACATTTCTTTGGAATGGGCACAAATATGTGTCTCCTCCAGTTGGTTGACCAAAAAGCTGTCTTCCAAATTTCTTGGCATAGATGAGTGAGTGCTTACAGTGTTGCATTCATTTGTTGAAAAATCTCAGTTGGTATTTCGTCAATTCCTTGAGCCTTGTTTTTCACCAATGTCTTCAGTGCAGCTAGGGCTTCTTCAGTGCCATTGGTTCTTGACCATATGCTATCTCCTGAAATCGTTGAACATCAGACTATTTCATACAGTACTCTGTGTATTCCTTCCATCTTCTTCTGATACTTCCTGCATATTTCAGTATTTTGCCCATAGAATCCTTCAGTATTGCAACTCAAGACTTGAATTTTTTCTTCAATCCTTTCAGCCTAAGAAATGCCGAGTGTGTTTTTCCCTTTCGGCTTTCTATCTCCAGATCTTTGCACATTTAATTATAATATTGTGCTTTGTCTTCTTGAGCTGTCCATTAAAATCTTCTCTTAGGCTCTTTTATGTGATCATTTTTTCCATTCACTTTAGCTACTCTGTGTTCAAGAGCAAGTTTCAGAGTCTTTTCTGACATCTATTTTGGCCTTCTCTTTTTTTCCTGTCTTTTTAATGACCTCTTGCTTTCTTCATGTATGATGTCCGTGATGTCATCCCACTACTCATCTTCTGTTCGGTCATTAGTGTTCAGAGTGTCAAATCTATTCTTGAGATAATCTCTAAAATCAGGTGAGATATACTCAAGTTCATACTTTGTCTCTCGTGGACTTGTTTTAATTTTTTTTCAGCTTCAACTTGAATTTGCATATGAACAATTGATTGTCTGTTCCGTAGTAGTCCCCTGGCCTTGTTCTGACTGATGATATTAAACTTCTCCATTATCTCTTTCCACAGATGTAGTCAGTTTGAGTCCTGTGTATTCCATTCAACGAAGTCCATGTGTATAGTTGCTGTTTATGTTGTTAAAAGGTATTTGCAATGAGTAAGTCATTGTTCTTGCAAGATTATATCATGCGATCTCTGGCATCATTTCTGTCACCAAACCCGTATTTTTCAACTGCTGATCCTTTTTCTTTGTTTTTAACTTATGCATTCCAATCACCAGTAATTATCAATGCATATTGATTGCACATTTGATCAATTTCAGACTACAGTAGTTGGTAAAAATCTTTAATTTCTTCATTTTTGGCATTAGAGGTTGGTGCGCAAATTTGAGTAATAGTCACATTAACTGTTCTTCCTTGTAGTTTTATAGATATTATCCTATCTCTGACAGCTTTATACTTTAGGAGAGATTTTGAAATGTTCTTTTTGACGATGAATGCAACGCCATTCCTCTTCAATTTGTCATTCCCAGCATATTAAACTATGTGATTGTTCAGTGCAAAATAGCAAATACTAGCCCATTTCAGCTCACTAATGCCCAGGATATGGATTTTCAAGCATTCTATTTCATTTTTGACAACTTCCAATTTTCTTAGGTCTATACTTCATGCATTCCACGTACATTCTTTCGTACATTCCAATTTCTAATGGATGTTTGCAGCTGTTTCTTCTCATTTTGAGTCATGCTACATCAACAAATGAAGATCCTGAAAGCTTTACTCCATTCATGTCATTAGTGTCAACTCTATTTTAAGGCGGTAGCCCTTCCCCAGTCATATTTTGAGTGCCCTCCATCCTGAGGGGTTTACCTTCCACCATGATACCAGTGTTTCACTGCTGTTCATAAAGTTTTCACTGTCCGATTATTTTAGAAGCAGATCACCAGGTCGTTCTTCCCAGTCTTAGTCTGGAAGCTCTGCTGAAACCTGTCCACCGTGGGTGACCCTGCTGGTATTTGAAATACCATTGGCATAGCTTCCAGCATCACAGCAACACACATGCCACCATAGTATAACAAACTGACAGATGAGTGGTGGAACCCGATGGGGCAGTTCTACTCCATCCTAGAGGGTTGTTATGAGCCTGAATTGACCCGACAGCAGTGGATTAATTTGATTTGGTAATCCAGGCCCTCTTGGGCCAGTGACTAGGATACCACTAGAGGTCACTCTTTTCCTTTTTTTTTTTTTTTTAGTGCTGATTTAAGAATTCTGGATGCTTGTTCTCTGAAATTCAGTATGCATGAGCAGGGAATTTTAGCTGGTTACAGATGCTGACATAAGAAGTGGGGCTTGGCTTTCCCGTGGTGAAAGTGGGGAGCTCTTTACATCTTTCCCTCCTGGGCGCCCCTGCACATGCTCTCATCCCATGGTGTTCTGCTGTGGGCAGGGACCCAGACGTTTCCCTAGGTTACCTGTCTGAAGTATTTCCCTTGCCCTGATGCCCTTACAGTGCCTACAGGTTCTATCCAGTCTGTCCACTAGCTGGCACTGCCACTCAGGTGAGATGTCATGTGTTAATGAATCTGTCCACCAGGGGGCACAACTCTTTCTAAGGTTATTACTGCTTTCCCATCTTTGTTTACGCAACCACGTTTTCTGTCGGAAAACCCACACCCAGTGAGCCCCCTTCGGGGCTGGGTGTTGCCCTCCATTTTTGCCCAAAGCTTCTTTCCCTACTCTGTGGGGGCTGCTTATATCTGAGCTGGCATTCAGGGGAAGCATAGGCCAACTTTTCTCTGTCTCAGGAGGAGGAAGTGCTGGCTCTCCTGGAAAGACCTCCAAGACATCTGTCTTGTTGGTTGCAGAGGTCTAGTGCCCCTGTGGTGGCTGGGTGAGCAGTCTGCACTTAGGTGACCTGTCTCCTGGCTCCACTGTAGAGAATCTGCTGTAGGAGCTCATAATATTCCAACAGCAGACAGTTACCCGGTTGGGGAGGATTGTCATATTTCTAATGGGCCCCCAGGGAAGTCTGTCCTGTTAGTTTCAGAGGCCTGAGCTATAGGATGCATATGGAGGCTGGTAGAGTACTGACTATGGGAGCAGACTCCATTGTGGGGGCCTCCTGTAGCAATTCACAGCAGGCTTGCAGGTGACAGTGTCTGGGTGTGGAATGTGTTGTCATGCCCCAAATGGACCCCCCAGGGAGATCTGCTTTGTTGCTACAGAGCCCCGCCCCCATAGTATGTTGGCTATGGGTGTAACCTCCACTCAAGATGCCTGATGCCTGCTTCCTAGCACACAGCAACCTCAGTCAGCAGTCTTCATCATCGACGAGAAGGGGTAACAGACAGACTGAACTGACTCCCCAGGTCTGTCCTGTTGATATCAGAGGACAGAGGTATGGGGTGCACAGAGAGGCAGGTACAGTGATGGCTATGGGAGCATACTCCACTGCAGGGTCCTTCTTAAGCAATTCTTAGTAGGCTTGCACCGAACAGTGTCCAGGGTGAGGGAGGTGCTGACACACTCCAAACAGACCCCCGAGGAGATCTGTCTTTTTATTTTACAGCAGAAACTTGGGGTCCTGTCTGTTTGTACAGGCAGTGGTTGTGGTGGTTAGGGAAGCAGAATTTTTTACTGGGGCCACTTCCCCAGTTCACAGCAGCCGGCAGCTTGTGTGTCTCGGAAGAGGGGCAGGGACAGTGGGAGAAGTGATTTTCATACCTTATGCGACTCGTTGATTTGTGCCTGTCTGTAGTTCCCCGCTGCTTTCTTCTGCTCCCCGATTTAGGGTTCCTCAAAGCCGAGCACCATTTCCTTGTTGTGTTTGTGGGGGAGGATTGGAATGATGATCTGTTTACCCCAGCATCTTCCCAGAATCCATGTGTATAGTGATTTTTTAATTGCTTTCCTTTTTTTTCCTTCTCATTATGCCATACCCTGGAATTTCCCTTGTATCTATGTACATTATCCAGTCCCACTAGTATAAGTGTACTGGTGTAAGGTAAAAAAATGATGGTTGCTATGTGCTATAAGGGAACTCCTAACTCAGTTTATTCTAGGTTCTTGAGAAATGCCAAACATTGATGTCAGTAATGGCTGTGGCTTGTGCCAAGGTCCAGTCTGTAGGTATGTGGTGATGTGAGGTTGTAGGCTTGGAAGTCTGTTGGATGACTACCCTCTCACAGAGCTAAGCTGATTTTTCTTCATCTCTCTTTTGAGAAGCCCAAGTCAGCTGACAGGTGACTGGAAAATGGCACTTCTTTACGTTGTTATTGTATTTTGCAGAAAAAGGAGCGTGAACTCATACTAAATAAATCAACAAACGCTATTACAACTGGGAAGATGACCCACCCCCCAAACATCCCAAAAGAGCAGACCCCAGCAGGGACCTCGAATGCATCTTCAGTCTCCGTAAAACCTCCTGAAGAGAAGACTTCTGAAAGCAAAAAGACTTACAACAGCATCAGCAAGATTGACAAAATGTCCCGCATTGTATTCCCAGTCCTGTTCGGGACTTTCAATTTAGTTTACTGGGCGACATATTTGAATAGGGAGCCAGTGATTAAAGGAGCTGCCTCTCCAAAATAAATCTCCAGACTCCCAGTCTCCAAGAGAGCCATGCTTCCAGCAAGATGGTACCAAGGACAGGTTGAGCTCAAAGGAACTTTGCATATTTGGGCAATATCTTTTGGGATTTTTTGCATGTTTAGTAATATGTACAAATAATGTTGCCTTGATTGTTTATATGTATAACCTCAGATGTTTCAAAGATGTCACTTTGATGAACAGAGAAAACTTTCCAGAAAAACAAGAGACAATGACTCTGACACTCAGATGCTCAGTATCTTACACTGATAGTTTACAAATCAGACAAGTATATTTTTAACTATTCCAAATGTTACTTAACAATGATTTTTATACTTCAAATGTCATTTCATACAAATTTCCCCAGCAAGAAATATTTTAGGAAATTCTCTATGCATATTACCAAATATTGCAAGAAACAAAGTTCACAAAGAGCACATTTTTCATTAAAAGGAGCTGTTGGCATTTATGTAAAAAATTAATTTCCTTTGGTAATTCTTACTGTTCTGAAATTAGGAAAGGTACTGCATGATCTTACATTAAATAAGACAGGCAAATATGTATGCAGAGAAATTTAGTAACAAAAATATATGGTATGTTAGATTTACTAATAACATTTCTACCCCAGGCAAAAATTCAACTCCTTAAAAAAATTTTATTTTTACTCTTCACTCCCTACCCCTCATTAACTAAACAATGACCGTGACAAAAAAGGAGTCAAGAAAACAAAGGGTGGCTGGGTGGCAGTCTGAGCAGTGACTGAGCATGTCTGGAACTTGATGGTGCTCTTGCTGTGGCCAGGCTGCGCTTTGGTGGTGAGACATCTTGATGAGTTATTTTCCATTTTATTTCCTTGTACATATTTCATGATTGGCTTATTGCTTTTGTATGTGAATCTTAAATGTTCGTTAAATCATAAAAAAATGAGCTAATCTTATGGGCTTATGTCATTTTTTAAAATTGTATTAGTGAACTCATTTCCTGAAAATGACATTAAAAAAAAAAACATCAGAAATTGCTTTGGGAAAAAAATTCTGCTTGGCAGCTCACCTGTTTCCCATCTAATTTTCTGGACTAGTATGTGGAAATAGTGCTTATTTAATTCCATGGTAAGGGTGAATGGGCAAACCAGACATTTTCCTCTGTCTTATTTGCTTTATATCCTCTTATTTGAGGGTGTTCCCAGGAAGGGGCATTTCCTTTAGGCAGGTTGACTGCTCCTTCAGTGCCCTGTCGTCTTTTGCTGCTTGCGAATGCTGATGGAAAGTGCTTTTGACCCATGTACTTACCGTTTGAGGAAGTATCCAAGAAAGATGCAGATGAATGTGGATGAAAGAATGCTTTCTTCCTCCTCCAAGACTGTCTTGGAATTCTTCAGTCATAAAAGGTGAGCCCATTACATTGAACAAACAATATCAAATATTAAGCCTGTCTAAATTGACTGGTTAATGGCATTTACTTCTTCAAAACCCATCCACATCACTTGTGTTTGGTAGACACAGACATGGGTCATGGGCATGGATATAATGTTGGTATGTAAATGCCCACAGCATCAGTCCTCCTATACTCCAGATATTTACCCTGGCAAATCTTTGCATGGGATTGAAGCAGAGTTATATTTTACTAGAGTCACGTGAAAAGTCACAGAATTGCTAAGTTCTTCAAAAGGACAGGTGTCCTCTTTTCAGTATCCAATTTTTTCAGTGTACAGATACTATTGCCTGTTTCTGTAAATGGTTTCAGCATCTCACAAAGTAGAAGGGCAAGGTCAGTGAAAGGGGTGCTCTTAAACATTAAGACCAGAAGCATTTCTCTGCTACAAATGGTGATTTTGTTGTAGAATAATTTGTGTATTTTCTACTGCGCTACAGCATAAGAAGACCAACAACTTATTCATTGCAAATACCTTTTTTCAACGGTGACTATACAGATGGACCTCACAGGATGGAATACACAGGAATCAAATTGACTACATCTGTGAAAACAGATGATGGAGAAGCCCAATATCATCAGTCAGAACATGGCCAGGGGCCGACTGCGGAACAGACCATCAATTGCTCATACACAAGTTCAAGTTGAAGCTGAAGAAAATTAGAGCAAAGTCCACAAGAGCCAAAAATGACCTTGAGTATATCCCATCCAAACTCAGATTTGAGGCATTCAACACTAATGACGGAAGACCAGACAAGTTGTGGAATGACATCAAGGACATCATACATGAAGAAAGCAAAAGGTTATTAAAAAGACAGGAAAAAAAGAAGAAACCAAAATGGATGTCAGGAAAGACTCTGAAACTTGCTCTAGAATGTAGAGTAGCTAAAGTGAATGGAAGAAATGATGAAGTAAAAGAGCTGAACAAAAGATTTCAAAGGGCAGCTCAAGAAGACAAAGTATTAAAATGAAATGTGCAAAGACCTAGAGTTAGAAAACCAAAAGGGAAGAACATTCTTGGCATTTCTCAAACTGAAAGAACTGAAGAAAAAATTCAAGCTTCAGGTTGCAATATTGAAGGATTCGAATTATGCAGTAAGCATCAAAAGCAGATGGAAGGAATACACAGTCACTGTGCCAAAAATAATTGGTCAACATTGAACCATTTCAGGAGGCAGCATATGATCAAGAACAAATGGTACTGAAGGAAGAAGTCCAAGCTGCACTGAAAGGAATGAAGAAAAACAAGGCTCCAGGAATTGACAGAATACCAATTGAGATGTTTCAACAAACAGATGCAGCACTGGAGGTGCTCACTAATCTATGTCAAGAAATTTTTAAGGCAGTTTCCTGGCCAACCAACTGGAAGAGATCTATATTTGTGCTCATTCCAATGAAAGATGATCCAACAGAATGAGGAGATTACTGAACAATATCATTAATATCATACACAAGTAGAATTTTGCTAAAGATCATTGAAAAACGTTTGCAGCAATAGGTTGACAGGGAACTGCCAGAAGTTCAAGCTGGATTCAGAAAAAGTTGTAGAACAAGGGATATCATTGCTGATGTCAGATGAATCTTGGTTGAAAGCAGAGAATACCAGGAAGATGTTCACCTATGTTTTATTGACTATGCAAAAGCATTCAGCTGTGTGGATCATAAAAATTATGGATAACATCACAAAGAATGGGAATTCCAGAACACTTAATTGCGCTCATGTGGAACCTCTACGTAGGCCAAGAGGCAGTCGTTTGAGTAAAAACTGGGGATACTGTGTGATTTAAAATAAGGAAAAGTTTACCTCAGGGTTGTATCCTTTCACCATACTTATTCAATCTGTATGCTGAGCAAATGATCCGAGAAGCTGCACTATATGAAGAAGAATGCAGCATCAGGATTGGAGAACGCCTCGTTAACAACCTGAGATATGCAGATGACACAACATTGCTTGCTGGACAAAGAGGACTTGAAGCACTTACTCATGAAGATCAGAGACTACAACCTTCACTATGGATTACACCTCAACATAAAACAAAAATCCTCATGACTGGACCAATAAGCAACATCGTGATAAAATGGAGAAAAGATTGAAGTAGTCAAGGATTTCATTTTACTTCGATCCACAATCAGTGCCCATGGAAGCAGCAGTCAAGAAATTAAAGGACATATTGCATTGGGCAAATCTTCTGCAAAAGACCTCTTTAAAGTGTTGAAAAGCAAAGATGTCACTTTGAGGACTAAGGTGCACCTGACTGAAGCAATGATATTTTCAGTCACCACATAAACATGTGAAAGCTGAACAATGAATAAGGAAGACCGAAGAAGAATTGATGCCTTTGAATTATGGTGTTGGTGAAGAATATCGTCTATAACTTGGACTGCCAGAGGAATGAACAAGTCTGTCTTTGAAGAATTACAGTCATTGCTCCTTGAAGGCAAGAATGAGGAGATTATGTCTCATGTACTTTGGACATGGTATCAGGAGGGACCATCCCTGGTGGATATCATGCTTGGTAAAGCAGAGAATCAGCAAAAAAGAGGAAGAGCCTCAATGAGATGGATTGACACAGTGGCTGCAACAATAGGCTCAAGCGTAACGATTGTGAGGATGACACAGGACTGGGCAGTGTTTCATTCTGTTGTACATAGTGTCACTATGAGTTGGAAATGACTGGACAGTACCTAACAACAACAGTACAGCATAAACACTGCCATTACGAAAGGCAAACCTAAGGTTCAATATGAAGTTTCAGTTTTCATTTGTTTTAATGGCATTTCTCTTACGTAGATATTGTAGTTTAGCCTCACATTGTAGTTTGTAGAAAAATGTAAACTGTGTCTAAATGACTACGTGTAAAATCACCCTTTGAAAATCTCAGTCCTAGCAGAAACTATCTTCTGTGTCAGGATGCAGTAATGTTCTTGATGAGTTTCAGCCCTTGGCACAGAGAACTATGAGCACAGCTGGATGAATTTGAGTTTGAAAATATGCCTACTGCATTTACATGCTGCTGAACCTTAACTCTGATGAATATTTAGTGAAAAAGATCACATTAGTTTTCAGTTCTCTGATTTTGTCTTGTACATCTTTCAGTGTTTGTTATTTTTAATGAGGACATAATAAAGAATTACCTTGGGAAAAATGATAGCAAAGCAAAAAATAAAAAATGTTTAAAAGTTATTATAAATTAAAGTGACCCACTTTTAGAACCACAGTATTTAAATTCATCTCTTTTGATGTCACCACTAATAGAAAGACAATATTCTAATAAGTCAGTGATCTATACTTTCTTAGGAACCTGTGAGTTTATTTAGGGCAAGCTTTAGCTAAAGTTGGGGGCCCAGGTGCTTCTAGAGTAACTATCAAAGTTAAAGTAGTATAGCAAACATGTTCCACTGAAGATTGACAAAACAAAAAAAAACCCACTGCCTTCGTGTCAATTCCAACTATAGTGACCATGTAAGACAGAGTAGAACTGCCCCATAGGTTTTCCAAGGCTCTAAATCTTTAAGGAAGCAGACTGCCACATCTTTCTCCCACGGAGCTGCTGGTGGGTTAGAACCACTGATCTTTTGGTTAGCAGCCGAGCATGCCACCAGGGCTCCTTAAAGATTGACAAGAAGGATGTAAATATTCTGAACAGCTTTGTCATGTAAATACCTTAGAAATAGTGTTCTATTTGTTCTCTCTCAGAACAAATTACAGAAAACAGGTAGAGTAAATTAGAAATTTCTGTTCTACAAATGAGCATACTGAAACCCAAAGAGGTTAATCCGTTGGCTCAAAGTCACATAGCAAGTTAGAAAAAAAGGCAGGCTATGTTCCATTTCTCATAGTTTCTAACCCGGGGTCACTACCCCATGCAGTTGTTTCCAGATGGAAGTTAATTTGGAGCATAAATAGAACTTCAAATAGAAAATATTAGTTCAAGCCCTGGTTGAGTGATTATCTATTAAGAATGCCCTAGAGAATTTTTTTTGCACCAAAAACATGACCTTTAAGTCTGTTCTTTCTAATGTAAAAGTCTGTGTTTCTGTGACCTTAAAATTCCATCTTAATAGAATGGACCATTAAGGTAGCCCTCCACCTCCCATCCAAAAAAGAGGGAGAGGAAATGAGAGAGGGAGAAGAGAAGACAGAGCACTGATTGACTGGAGCAAAGTATCTAAGTATGAT